GTGGCGACGGTTACAGGAATCGGATGACCCGCTCGGATTAATAACATGATCCGCGGGCCCCATAGGGAGGGGGCTCCCGCTGAGACTTCCTCGTAATTCACTCACAGATGTGGCCTGGGAATGACGTTCTGGCAGCGCGAAAGCCCAAAAGTGGCGACGGTTACAGGAATCGGATGACCCGCTCGGATTAATAACATGATCCGCGGGCCCCATAGGGAGGGGGCTCCCGCTTGAGACTTCCTCGTAATTCACTCACAGATGTGGCCTGGGAGTGGCCTTCTGGCAGCGCGAGAGCCCAAAAGTGGCGACGGTTACAGCAATCGGATGACCCGCTCGGATTAGTAACATGATCCGCGGGCCTCATAGGGAGGGGGCTCCTGTTTGAGACTTCTTCGCAATTCACTCACAGAGGTGGCCTGGGAATGGCGTTCTGGCAGCGCGAGAGCCCAAAAATGGCGACGGTTACAGCAATCGGATGACCCGCTCGGATTAGTAACATGATCCGCGGGCCCCATGGGGAGGGGGCTCCAGCTTGAGACTTCCTCGCAATTCATTCACAGACGAGGCCCAAGGCGAGTGAGTGAGTGAGTGAGTGAGTGACTGACTGGTGATGATGATGATCATCACACTCTCTGACGCGCACACTCATCATCATATGTGAGTGCTGATGAGTCAGTGAGTGAGTGAGTGAGTGAGTGAGTGAGTGAGTGTGTGAGGGATGATGAGTGAGTGAGTGAGCGAGTGAGGAATGAGTGATGATGATGATGGTGGGTTCCTGTTCCTGCGCGGGGTGTCCAAAGAAAACTAGAACCCTACTTTGGATGTGGGGAATAACGGCCGTTATAATAACAGTGATAGTAATAGTAGCAGTAGTAGGTCATCGTCGTAACATTCGCAGTATCAGAAATAGTAGTAGTAGTCGTAGTAGTCGTAGTAATAGAGACACTTGGAACAAGTGGTAGTGGCGATATGAGAAGTACCAGTTGCTGTAGTCGTACGAATCGAGTAATAGCAGTAGTGGTGGTAGTAGTAGTAGTAGTAGTAGTAGTAGTAGTAGTAGTAGTAGTAGTAGTGGTAGTGGTAGTGGTAGTGGTAGTAGTAGTAGTAGTAGTAGTAGTAGTAGTAGTAGTAGTAGTAGTAGTAGTAGTAGTAATCGTGTCAGCAGTAGTGATGGTAGTACTAGTAGCCGTAGTAGTAGTAGTAGTAGTAGTAGTAGTAGTAGTAGCAGTAGTTGTAGTGATAGTCGTAGTCGTAGTCGTAGTCGTAGCCGTAGCCGTAGTACTGAGCAAGCTGCTTAAGAAATGTAAATTCCCGTGTGCAGCTTACTGGTGGAATTGATGAATAGTAATACCAAGAACACTCTTCCGCCTCCTCCTCCTCCTCCGCCTCCTCCCTCCTCCTCCCTCCCTCTGCGTTATCGTTTCACTGGAAAGGGGGGGGTCCTTACTTGCTTCATGAGGCTAGCCGCTCGGCTTCCGGCCCCGCCTACAGCGGAGAGCTCGGCCGATCGACTGAGATCCCAGACTAGCGCCCCTCCGAACGGCTCCCCGACAGCGGCACCACCGCGACTCCTCCTCACCCCCCTTTCCTCCTCCTCCTCCTCCTCCTCCTCCTCCTCCTCCTCCTCCTTCCCCCTGGGACGGCAGGGATGACCAAGAGCCAGGTTCGGCCCAGCAGACCAATCAGTGGTGCAAACTGATCGATGTTGCTCAGCCCGCTAGTGGACAGCGGGTACAGAACTGCGTGCCCGAGGACGACCTGCACCATCGACAATAATTACGCGGGTCGCATCCACGCATGCTCGGGGATCTACTGAACCGGCTCAATGCAAACCCGGGTCAGTCGGGCTTTGCAGGATCCTGCAGCATCATGCAGGATGCTGCGCGCCAACCTCGCCTAGTTCAACCCTGGCCCTGCAGGATCGTCCCAAAACCGGCGCTCTGGCTGACCACCGATTGCATGGACCCCCGACTCAAGCATCCCGAGAAAGTGCTCTGATCTTGAGGCCAGGGGCGCACCAGCGAGGAGGAGAAGGATTGGGGGAGGAGGAGGAGGATGAGGAGGAGGAGGAGGAGGAGGAGGAGGAGGAAGAGGAGGCTGGGGAAGAGGAGGAGATTGGGGGAGGGGAGGATGAGGTGGAGGAGAGGATGGGAGGAGGAGGAGGAGGAGGATTGGGGGGAGGAGGATGAGGAGGAGGAAGGAGGAGGAGGAGGAGGAGGGAGGAGGAGGAGGAGGAGGAGGAGGAGAGAGGAGGGAGGAGGGAGAGGAGGAGGAGGAGGAGGAGGAGGAGGAGCAGTTCCATACCAAGGGCCAACGAACCCAGGAGGAGCCCCGCCGTGCGCCTCGGCGCCTCCTCGCGGGCCCCCGGGGCACCGCAGCGGGGGGAGGGCCTCAAGATGCCCAGCAGGCACGAAGCTGGAGGGCGGCCCCTTATCAAAATGAGGCTAGAGTCGGTGCGTTGACCTAAGGAACCCTAGACAAGGAACGAGGCCCCTTTTCCCACACGTTCAACTTCGACTTACCCTCGGAAACCTAAGGAAAGCCCGAGACACACTGCGAAACAATCACGGAACACCGAGCCCCTCCCCAACGAGAAGGGTTCCTTCTTCAGCGCCCCGACTGTATCGCTCAAGACATCTCGTATGTCATAACCCGAACGTCGACGAGAGTACAGAACCATCAAACGGATCGGTGGCGGCTGTATCTCCGAACGGTGCTCTCGCTGGGCACGCTTCATGGCACTGTATGATCCCACCCCTTAGCACATATCCATACAGCCCTCTGGGCGGAAGTGCTATATGATACTGGGCTGAGGGTTCACAGGCCTCCCCCCCAAACGGGATGGGTCCCAGGGTCCCACACAGCCCCCCCCCCTGGTGGGATGGTGACGACGGGAATGACGACGACGACAAAGACGACGAGGGAGACGACGAAGACGACGACGACGACGACGACGACGACGACGACGACGACGACGGCGAGCCCGACGACGACGACGACGGCGAGGTCGACGACGACGACGACGACGACGGCCGACGACGACGCCGACGCCGACGGAAGACGACGACGACGCCGACAGAAGACGGCGACAGACGACGAACCACCCCACACCTACATGGGGGAGGGGATGCACCGGCACCCACCACCACGCTGCGCCCATGCCGTCGGGCCCACCTCCCCCTCCCCCGCCAGCTGCTCCCCCTCCCCGACCCCACGGCCCCAGCACCAGACAAACATGTAGGCTTGCTGTCTCCACCGGGGCCAGGCGTGTCGGCCCGCAGTCGGGGGGGCGCACCGCACGGCGGCGCACGCCCCTTCAAAACCTCTTCTCGGCACACGGGCGGTGGGCGACAGGCAGCCCGGGCGCTGGCGACAGGAGGCCCCGCCCCAACAAACACGACAGGCGGGAGGGGGGAGGTGGACAGGAGAGAGAAGACGGAGAACCGGGAGGCGGAGGCGGCGGGCGGGCGGCCAGGGGGGTGAGCCCCCCGAGCCCCCCAGTGGGCGCGATCCTCCCCTCTCCTCCCTCTTCCCTCCCTCCCTCTTTTCCTCCTCCTCCTCCTCCTCCTCCTCCTCCTCCTCGTCTTTTTTCTTACTCTTCTGAATAAGAATAGTACTATCATTGCTATTGTGTTTATTCGTATTAGTCTGATTCGTATTAGTACTACTAGTGTTACTATTATAATTCGTATGATTTGCATTCGTCCTATTATGCATGTATTACTATGTTGTATCATTAATCTGATTCGTTTCCTTATTTTTACGATTACTCTTAATATGATTAGTCTTATCAATCGGGGGTTGGGGGGTGATATCGAAGTGGAACGGAGAGCCCCCCTACCGGGAAATCGACTTCGGTTTTGTGTTCGTGCGTGCCGTGCGGGCGAGGCGAAGCTGCGTGGGCGGGCGAGAGGAAAGTCTCCTGTGGCTGAGGCGCGGCCGGACCAAATGATTCTCCGCCGGGCGGCCGGTGGCGCGCGGTGTCCTGCCGGTGTCCCGCCGGTGTCCCGTCGGTGTCCCGTCGGTGTCCCGATGATGATGTTGATGATGATTACGATGATGATTGTGATGATGATGGTGATTATGATTATGATGATTATGATTGTGATTATGATTATGATGATTACCATTATGATGATGATTACGATTATGATGATGATTATGATGCAGCTGTTCCAGCGGGCACGGGCTGCGCCAGGCTTTGCCAGCGCAGGGGCTTTGCTAGAGGGCAGGGGCTTTGCTGTAGTGCTATTAGGGGGCACGGGCTTTGCTGCAGTGCACGGGCTTTGCCAGCGCACGGGCTTTCCCAGCGCACGGGCTTTGCTGTAGTGCTATTAGGGGGACACGGTGTATACCAGGCTTTGCCAGCGCTTCGGTATTCTCTGACTGCATGAGGCGCGCTTTCGCTGGGCTTCCAGCCGTTTGCGCTGTTTGAGCAAGAGAAAAAGAGCTATTGGCGGTACATCGGTCTCGACCGCCGAAGGGCAGCCGTTGAGCAATATTTTGAAGCGATTTAGTCAGTGGCGACAAGAAGGGCTTCAGAAGGCCTCCGACAGAAAAATCTCCACTGGCATCGTCAGGAGAACAATCACCACTGTTGCCCATTGCTCGGCCCCTCCACCCCCCCCAACCTCCTTATCACCCGTAGGGTGGTCGTATAGGTATTGTCACTAGTGCTGCTCCCCCTCCTCCTCCCCCACCTTCCTCCGTCCTCCGTCCTCCTCCTCCTGCTCCTCCTCCTCCTCCCACTTCTTCCCCCCACCTCCTCCCACCTCCTCGTCCTCCTCCTCCTCCTCGTCCTCCTCCTCGTCCTCCTCCTCCTCCTCGTCCTCCTCCTCCCACCTCGTCCTCCTCCTCCTCCCACCTCCTCCTCCCACCTCCTCCCACCTCCTCGTCCTGGTCCTTTTCCTCCTCTTTTTCCTCCTCCTTTTCCTTCTCCTTCTCCTCCTCCTCCCTAACACTGACATCCACCCCCCGTGCGGGCGGGCGCGTGCTCGGGCCACTGCGGGCGGCTTCTTCGGCACGGCGGGGTCCTCGGATGCAGGCCTGGGGAGCGAGCCGAGGAGGAGACGCAGAGAGGAGTTCCTCGAGGAGAGGAGTTCCTCGAGGAGAGGAGTTCCTCGAGGAGAGGAGGAGACGAGGGAGACGAGGAGAGGAGATTCTCGAGGCCGAGGAGGAGACGAGGAGAGGAGTTCCTCGAGGATCGACGAGGAGAGGAGTTCCTCGAGGCCGAGGAGGAGACGAGGAGAGGAGTTCCTCGAGGATCGACGACCGTTTTGCGGCGCGTTGGACATTCGGGGCGCCTCACTCCATCGATCGCACCATCGATCCTACTGTCGATCTTACTGTGGATCGCACTATCGGTCTCACGGTCGATCTCACCATCGATCTCGTACCGATCTTAGAATCGATCTAAATATCGATCCCACCATCGATCTCACTATCGATCCATCGATATCACTACATGTTGATCTCACTATCGATCTCACTATCGATCTCGCTCGATCGGTCTCACAATCGATCTCACTATCGACCTCACTATCGATCTCAAAATCGATATCACTATCGATCCCACGATCGATCTCGTTACCGATCTTATAATCGATCTCAATATCGATCCAACGACAGATCTCACTATCGATCCCACGATCGATATCACTACCGATATTATAATCGATCTCACTATCGCTGTTACTATCGATCCCACTATCGATCTCACTAAAGATCCCAATCGATTTCACGATCGACCTTACCATCGATCCCACGATCGATCTCACAATCGATCTCACGATCGATTTCCCTGTCGACCTCACGATCCATCTCACTGTCGAACTCACGATCGATTTAACAGTCGGTCTCACGATCGGTCTTACTGTCGATCTCCCTACAGGACACCGACGAAACACTGACGGGACACCGACGGGACACGGAGAGCTACCACGAGACACCACGGGACACCATCGGGACACCATCGGGACACCACAGCGGGACACACCCGGCCACCGCCGCCCAAACCGGGGGGGGCCGGTCTTTTTGGCCCAGCGGCGCCCTGGCCAGAGAAGGGCTCGTCCCCCTCGCCCGCCCACGCCGCTTCGCCTCGCCCGCACGCACGACACGAACACGACACCGAGACCGTTTTCCCGGCGGGGGGTCTCCGATTCACTGGGAGCTCAACGCCTCACCTCCGATGGCAACGCTGCATCTGCAAGGTTCCCACGGTACGCCGTTCCGGTCCTAAGGGTTCGCATTTCCGCTAGCGGGTACTTTCAAAAAACCAGATTCCACACATCATATGATGCAAAAGCCGAAGAGCCAGCAACAACTTGTGTTGGAGCATCGCTTCGCCACCACACGTGAGAGGCGCTGTTCGGTCCCCTCCTCCTCCTCCTCCACCATATTATCCTCGGCAGTGCACCATGCTCTCATTCTCTCTGTCCTTCTCTCTCTCCCTCTTTATGAATAGATATTACTCTCTCGTCCTCTCTCTCTCTCTCTTTCTCTCTGTCGTCCTCTCTCTCTCTTTTTCTCTCTCCCTCTTTATCTCCTTCTCGCTCTCTCCTCCTCTCTCTCTCTCGCGCTCTCTCTCTCTCTCTCTCTCGCTGCAGTAAAGAGGAAGGCATGTAGTGACTTCCGAAAGAGGGACTTCGACCGAGAGAATATGTTGCAACACTGTTGACGCATCACCGGTTTACTCAGGCTCTCCTCCTCCTCCTCGCCCTCCACATCCATCCCTCTGCCATATAAATCACTCCTCCCTGTCGTACCCCCAGACGCGTCAGGAGGGTTGGCCAGGCGTTTCGCCTGAAACTGCCTCACCACTCATGATCCTGAAGCTTGAAAGTTGAATCGCTTCAAGGATGGAAGGCGGTTCCATTTCAAACTGTGGCTCTCGCTGTGGCCCCGCCCGCATTCGTCTTAAAAGGGTGGAGCGCGTTCGCGGATTCGTACGATTGAAGTCCCAAGAATTGCGCTATGGCGCGTTTTAGGCTTTTCACGACGCAAAGTTAAGTTGACCGGCGGTGTGAAAGTCCCAGGGATGGTTTTCTGGCACGACTAAGTGCTGTCAGAACGCAAAGCCACGGTGACTCGCGACGTTGAAGTCCCAGATATTGCGTTTGGTGCGACTGAATATTCTCAAACCATCATCTTCCATGGTGGATACTTCCCGCAATGAAACTATATGGTTGCGAAGATCTAGGAAAGAAGAAATTGGAGGAAACGTTTATTGCAACATCGTTGGCGCGTCTTGGGTTCAAACTGGTCCTCCTCCTCATTCTCCTCCTCCTATTCCTCCTCTTCCTCCTCCTCCTCCTCCTCCTCCTCATCATCATCATCATCTTTCTTTCGAGAGGGACAAAGCTCCACGAAGCTACCCTGGGACCCAAGTGCACAAGAAGAGGCATGCAACTAATTTGCGCGATACTCATTCACTCTCTTGAACCACCGGACTGCCTCGAGGGTGGCATTTTCCAAAGCAATGGCCTCAGCTAAGAAAGAACTTATTGGCTCGGCGAAATAGATGCCGGCTGCTACCATGGGGACAAACTTCTCCACGCCGTTGATTTCAGATATCGCCGTAATTATCCAAGCGCTTGCGGAACAGGTCGCTCTCGTCCCACCATCTGAAAACACCGCGATGTTGCTGCCCGGCGAGATGAGCCGATTGCGCTCTTCCCTCCACTCGCCTTTGATCACGTCCATAGTGTGGTTGCACAAGTAGTCTGCCACTGCGTTTTTTCCCTGTTGACCCAACGCACGGGGTCGTTCGCGGCCTCCGGCGGCAGCCCCCCCAAGGAGACGACCTCGCAGATATTGTCTACGATGCGGTGCATGACCGGCCTGCAACCGTTGTTCAGCAAATCCATGTGGCCGCACACGATCCGCTGCAACGGCTGGCAGTCCACGAGGAAAAGAAATCTGTCCTGTGGCGGTTCCCACTGAAGACCCAGCTGTTGATCCACTGCAGGTTCCTCGAGCTGGTGCTGTCCAGAGCGTTGGGGCGTGATCTCCGGGGCGGCTCGGCGTCGTGATCATCATTATCATCAACATCAACATCATCATCATCATCATCATCATCATCATCATCATCATCATCATTATCATCATCAACATCATCATCATCATCATCATCATCATCATCATCATCATCATCACCATTATCATCATCAACATCATCATCATCAGCATCAGCATCATCATCATCATCAGCATCATCAGCATCAGCATCAGCATCAGCATCATCATCATCATCATCATCATCATCATCATCATCATCATCATCATCATCATCATCATCATCATCATCAGCAGCAGCAGCAGCAGCAGCAGCATCCACTTCCTTTTCCTCTTCCTCTTCCACTTCCTCCTCCTCCTCGTCCTCCTCGTCCTCCTCCTCCGCCTCCTCCTCCTCGTCCCCATTTTATCCCCACGGTCGCATGCGCAGGGCCCCTGCGCCACCCTGCCCCGGCGGCTGCCCCGCCCCGCCCCCCCGCCGATCTCCAATGCGCGCGGCGCTCTGGGCCGCTCCCTGGCCGCGGCTGGTGCCCTCAGCCCCGGAGCTCTACAAGTTGGCTTCGCGCTGCCCTGCTTGGGGGTCTCCGCCGTTGCGGCTCACCTCCCGTTTTCGCATCCCCGCCCAGGGTTTGCGCCCGTGTTCCCTGACACGTGGCGCCGCCCTCCACTGGGCGGGCGGGCTCGCAGCCCCCCCGCCCCGGGGCTCCGCAGGTAGCTGCCACCCCTGCCGGCAGCTGTCGCTGCCCCCCTCTGGGGGACACCGCCTAGGGGCTCTCCCCCCCGTTTTGCCTCCCCCGTATGGGAGCCCCTGCCCGTGCACCGTTTGCACTGGGCACCGCCCTGCCCCAGGCTGTGATGCGTGCACCAGCCTTGGGATGGCGTTCGCGTCTCCGTCGTCCGTTTTCGCTACCTCGCCCCTGTGCGGACTGCACCGCCTGGCCATCCAGTGGCGCTGCGCCACTGTGCTGCCTCCTGGGTCTGCCTCCTTGTGCCGCCTAAGCGCTGGCAGCACCGCGCTCCTTTGCCAGCTGCTGCGCGCCCCAGCTGCTGCCCCCCCCCACCCTGGCGCCCCTGCCCGCTGGCTGCCCGCCACTCCCGCCCCCTCGCTTGCTGGGCCTCGCCCGCTGTGGTTGCTGGCCCCACCCCTGGGTGCGATGCCCGCGATGCCGCCCCGCTGCTGCCAGGGGCTGCCCTTCAGCCTGGCCGCCCTCGCGCGTTCCCTGCGGCCTTGCCGCGCGAGAGTGCGTGCCCCCACGTCCCCTTCCCCTCCTCCGCGGCCGCCCTCTCTTCCCTCCTCCTCCCCTCTTGCATGCGGGCTGATTAGCAACTCCGCAGCCCGGCTGTGCTACACGCGCGAACGGACTGCCTCTGCCACAACCCGACGGAAAAATGCCCGGGGCCCCTGCTGCGCAGGGGCCCCGCTTCATCCTTCCGCCCGAGTTCCGCTCCCACCCATCACCAGGCATCCCCTTATTCGCTTGCTCATGCTGATCTCGTGTCCCTCCCCCTGCCCCGACGCTGACGTGACTGCCGCTTCGGCCGGCGGCCGACGGCGCACGGCCACGAGGCGAAGATGCCGCCACTGCGTTGAATTTCGAATTTCTTTTTGCGTGGGGACGTCGGCAGTCTGTGAGACTCTGGAGAAGCCCGCCGCAAGCGCCAAAGTTTCACCAATTATACAACGAGCCCGCCGCAGGCGCCAATTTTTGATTCAAACCAATGTGGATCGGTCGCAGGTGGGTCGCGGGTGGATCGCGGGGTGGGTCGAGGGTGGGTCGCGGGTGGGTCGCGGGTGGGTCGCGGGTGGTCGTGGGTGGGTCGCGGGGGTCGCGAGTGGTCGCGGGTTGGGCGCGGGGTGGTCGCGGGGTGGGTCGCGGGGTGAGTCGCGGGGCGGGTCGCGGGGTGGGTCGCGGGTGGGTCGTGGGTGGGTCGCAGGGCGGGTCGCGAGTGGGTCGCGGGTTGGGTCGCAGGTGGGTCGCGGGGTGGGTCGCGGGGTGAGTCGCGGGGTGGGTCGCGGGGTGGGTCGCGGGTGG